CCATGAGGTGGGCTTTTGTGATTTTCCAAAGAATTAATCTTCGAGTGGGCTAAGGCCCATTCATTAATTCCAACAGAGTCTAGAGAAGGTTGTCGTGGTCTTGGCGGCAGCGGTGGCTTGCAGAACGGCTTGGCGACGGCAAGAACCTCCCGGGTGAACGGCGACGGCTCAATCGGCACCAAGAACTATCGTGCAAATGTGTCCATGAGGTTAGTGAGGCCAGAGAGATGGTGTGTGCGCGAGTAATCGAACAATGGCTCACCGGAGGAGGCGGAAACGACAATGGCGACGGCAACCGGAGGTGGAGAAGACGGTGGCCGATCTCCACACTCGTAACACCATTCTTCGTGTTTCTTGAGGGGAAATGGAGAGGAGTACGAGGCGAAGACGATGGCACGATGGCCTGGCCCGGCTTGGTCCAGATCGATGGCGACGGCGACGATGCCACCACAGCGACGCTTGGAGCGCGCTCTGAAGCTCTTGTGGGCACGTCGGCGTTCCCGTCGATCCGCTGCATGAGAGAGGATGAAATCTAAAGGAGAAATCTTCGGTATGGTGAGGTGAGTATGGAACGTGGAAGAGATAGGGTTGGCGAAGACTCGTCGGCGAGGACGAGCGTCGTCTTCATCACGGCCGGCGGTGAGATCGAAGGCGAGGAAAGCAGCTAGAGCTTGTTCTCTCGGTTTGGTCGACACTGGAGTGAGGTGTGAGGATGGGCGATGTGGCTGGGAAGAGAAGGAGGCTCGGCTCGGCGTTGCCACGTCTAGGCCACGCGTCGTACACAGCCGGCGCCGATCTCTCTCTCGGCTGTCTCTGGTCAGTTGGAGGATTTGCACAGGGTGAGGACGAGCCAGAGTGGCTGCCAAGTGGGTCCAGGTCGTGGCAAACTAGGCTAGGATGAGAGGGTTGGGCCAAGTGGGTCCAGGTCGTGGCAAACTAGGCTAGGGTGAGAGGGTTGGGCAGAAACGTGGGTGAACAGAAGGTTTGGATGATTTTCAGGATTATTTCTCTCTCCCACTTTAGTAATTCAATTATTTAATTTGTAGGTAGAATAATTTAGTGTGGATTTTTCTGAAGATAGATGAAGATACCTAGATTCCATTTTCTTTGGTTGCACTAAAAAATTATAGATATATTGTTCACAGAAATTAGAGGAATATGGGTTCTTTGGAAACTAGTTTGAATTTTCAGGAGACCTAAACAGGAAAGATAAATTCTGGAAAACTTATATTTATTCATAATAATTAACCTAATATTTGAATAAATTATTTTCCCTATACACTTCCATGCAGTTTAATGCACATTTATTGAGGGTAGGTTTTTAGCCGATTAAGGATTATAATTAACCTACTGTTTGACTGGTTTGACTGATTTGTTTTAGGTATCAAATTTAGTTATTAAATTATACCAAAATTACAGTGAGTTACATGTATTAACCTACTGTTTGACTGGTTTGACTGGTTTGACTAATTTGTTTTAGGTGTCAAATTTAGTTATTAAATTATACCAAAATTACAGTGAGTTGCATGTATTAAGTAGAGCCTACATGAATTTTCCCATAATTTTATCTTGCACGAATTATTTTAGATAATTAGCAAGGTCTTTTCTTTATATGAATATTTCCAAATCTTAGATGCATCTAAATAGTTGTAAGAAATTTATTTTGACTACTCTTGACCTATGGTGATACTATTTAACCTCATTCTCATATCTTTACAAATATTGCTCAAGTGTGGTTATAGGTTTGCTTAGTGAAACTTTATCTTCTATTTATGCTCATGAGTCCTAATATGCAATGCCAACCAAAGATCCAAATGCACAAAGAAGACTCAAGTCAAAACATGTCTTATGCAAGCATGCATGCTTACACTTGTGCTTGCATCTACGTTATAGGTTAAAGATGAAAAGGTTTTAATTTGTTCTCAAATTTTATTTCAGTACAAGTTGGGTTGACCACACCTAAGTTAAAAAAAATGGAAATTTTTGGCTCTCAAAAAATAGAAAAGTTAGCTTCCAACTATTTTTTTTAACAATAAATTCTTAAGGTCTAGAATTTGGGTATGTTACAATTTGGAAGCTTAAGATGCCGCTTAAGATTAACATCTTTATGTGATAATTGCTTAAGGGGGTTGTATTAACCAAGGATAATTTGGCGAGACGGAATTGGAATGGCAGTTTGAGGTGCTGCTTTTGTATGAAAAATGAGTCTATTCAACATCTCTTTATGGATTGTCATTACGCAAAGTTCATATGGAGAGCAGTTCAGTTTTCTTTTGGTTTTAACTTTCCAACTAGTATATCTCATATTTTTGATGAGTGGCTTTGGGGTTTGACAAGAAAAAGAGTAAACTGATACTTGTTGGAGCTTCTGCCATTTGCTGGGCTCTATGGTTGAGGAGAAATGATATAGTTTTTCACAAATCATTATCTATTTCCTATATGCTGGTAATTTCCAGGGCAACACGCTGGCTCCGGTTTTGGGCACAGCAACAAAGGTGTGATGATGATAGGGAGACTCTAAAGGTTGCATGTCGCAAGTTGGAGTCGATGGTTATGTAACTTTTTGCCAATTATGGATGGAGGTTCACAAATAGACTTGAATAAATATGTTCTCCTTATTTTGGCTACGTTTTCTTTGCTTTTGTTTGGTGTGTTCTTTTTAATTTGAACTACACTTTTTCTTTGAGTGCTACTTTATAATAATTGGCTGTAGCTTGTTTTGAGCAAAGGCTGGGATGCTATATTCCATTATTAAAAAAAACATGCAAGGTTTTTACCCGCTTATCCTTACTTTATTTTGTCCATGTCCAATCCAATGGTCACGATTGGCTTGATGGTCTGTCTACTTTCATCATATATTCATATGCTCGTCATCATATATTCAAAGTGCGACAAAAAAAAATACAGACTAATGCTACCGAACGAAACCACAGATCCCATCCCTACCTACCGGTGCATCCACGTCTTACCAGGGTCCTCTCCTTCCATCTCCCTCTCTGCCGTTGCAATGCACAAACATTTTTTCTATATCTTATCTTAACTACTTAAAAAAAATTTAACTTTCCAATTGTCACACCGATTTTTCATCCGATCATAACATCCCACGCACCTCCTCTCCAAATCCCACATCATCACAATCACAATTCAACCCAAAAACAAAATCACAATCCAAATCCAAATCGGAATCATCACAAAATCATCCAAAATATCAAGAAATGATAAGAGGAGATGGAGGGGCGAACAGGAGGCTGCCACTTCTCCTCAACGGACCTTCTCGACCCGCCATTGCACTGGGATCAGCCGAGCCGCTGCTGCGCCGGGGAGCAGCCGTGGCGCTGTTGCGCCGGGAAGTCGCTGACCCGCCACTGTGTCGGGGAGATGCCTGAAGGGAGAGGGAGGAGCCAATCCCAAACTGCTGCGCCGCCGGGGAGCCGCCGACTTGCCGGACCTAGCGTGGAACGAGGCGGCAAGTAGGTGGCGGTGGCACCCTGACAAGGAGGAAAGGAGCCGATGGTGGGGGAGGAAGGAGAGGGGAGGGGCGCCACCGTGGAGAAGGGCGTGGAGAGGCTGCGCCGGTGGGAAGGGGCTCGGAGAAGCACCGTCGGTGGGGGAGAGAGGAGGGGCGCCAGTGGTAGGGAGAGAGAGGCGATCTGAGGTGAGGTGAGGGGAGTTGAAAAATGAACAAGGGTTAGGTTTTTTTTTTTTGGCTCCGATGATTTTGATCGATTCGGAACCGATCTGAGCCGTCCATCAAAACGAATGGCTCAGATCAATCCTACGTCGAGCCATCCTCCTCGTCGGGCCGCATAATTGCTGGGCCGCACGTGGGCCGGCCGGTCCAACAAAACACTTCGTTAGACTTTTGGTTGGGGCCCATACGGTAGCGAGAGGAGTAGGGGGAGCCTAATTGGACTTCCTATTGGGCCGAACTCTTTCTCGCGGGCTGAGGCAGAGGAGAGGAGAAGGAAGGAAAGCGGGCTGGCTCGGTTGCAGGCTGAAGAATAAAATGGGCTGAAATTGGCCCACAGAGAAAGGATTATTTTTATTTAAATTTTTAGTTAAACAAATGCTGAAATGATGTTTGTATTATCAAAATTAACAATTAAGATATGAAAATTCCAATAAAATTCCAAAGAGCGTAATTAATCATGGAGAATTTGATAAAATTAGATCCAACCATATTATTTTATTTTTCACACTTTACTTGTAAACTAATTTAATTATACACCTGCCTACTTAAAAAATACCCAAATATTTTCAAGAAATTTTTATTTCAATTAATTATATAGTGTAAATCTTTCTCAACTTTTCCTCAATTTTCTAGTGTTTACACTTCCTATTGCAACACAAAGGCACTTTTGCTAGTCAAATCAAAATATCAAAACGATAGCATAATCTATTCAAATTTCATCGGTTTCCGATAATAATTGATAGGTAACCATGATTATCGATAAAACCATGTAGTATAAAGTATATTTGACTAGAAACTTACATACTGTACGAGGAGTAGTTTAAAACCAGCTCAAACTCGGAATTTGGAAGGAGATGGGGCGCTGGCCACGTGGAACCCCGCGCGCTTTTTTCCAATTTGAAAAACCCAAAAATTCTACTGCACCCATATCCTGATCCGAAAACCGAAGGCCAGAAACCACGCGAACACCTACAGCCTCACACCGTCTCTCCTGCACCAGTTCCACGGAACAGCGGTGCGCTCTTGGCAACCTCGGCCGAGACCCCCGTGCAACCGGCCCACCGTGCACGCGTTCCACCGACCCGTGCCCCTGCGTTTTTGTTGACAGATAGAAATCACATTTCCCGCTCTGGGCGGCGCACACCGGGGGACCTCGCGAATCCGCGCGCATCCCCATCCGACGGCCATTATTCTCCCACCCCTCCTCCCACGGATCACGATCCGCGACGCTCCCGTCTCGGCCAATCATAGCGCGCCATTTCCATCCCACCGGATCGGTCCTCCTCCAGGCTATAAATAAGCCTCGACACAGTCCCCACGGACCCATCCAGCTCTCGTCTCGAAATCAAAAGCACACCCAAGAGAGAGTAGTGGTAGTTCCAGAGCGGTCTGCTTGCGAAGTTGCGATGCCTGCCATGGCCAAGCCCGCCTCCCGCGCTGCCAAGCCCGCGTCGGCGCCGAAGAAGCAGAAGGCAAAGCCCTCCGCCGCCGCCGGTGGCTCCTCCCACCCGCCTTATTTCGAGGTGAACAATCAATCTTTGTTTCGTTCGATTTTTTTTGGTTCGGTCGATTTGATTGGATGGAATCGGGGGATTTGGGGGTGATTGGTGATTGATGTTTGGCGGTGTGTGCGCAGATGATCAAGGAGGCGATCACGGTGCTTAAGGAGAGGACCGGCTCGAGCGCGCACGCCATCGCCAAGTACATGGAGGAGAAGCACGGGGCGTCGCTGCCGGCCAACTACAAGAAGATGCTCTCCATCCAGCTGCGCGGGTTCGCTTCCAAGGGCAAGCTCGTCAAGGTTAAGGCCTCCTACAAGCTCTCCGACGCCGCCAAGGACTCGCCCAAGGCCAAGCCTGCCGCCCCCGCCCCCAAGGCAGCAGCGCCGAAGCCAGCGAAGGACGCCGCCAAACCCAAGAAGGACGCCGCCGCTGCCAAACCCAAGAAGGCCCCCGCCGCTGGCACCAAGCGCAAGGCGCCGGAGAAGAAGGTGGTCGCCAAGCCCAAGAAGTCTCCGGCGGCGAAGGCGAAGGCCAAGCCCAAGACCGTCCGGTCGCCGGCCGCGAAGAAGACCCGCAAGGCACCTGCAGCTTGAGTTGGGAGTTTGGTTGATAGCTATGTAGGTCCCCTCTTGGTTGAAATGGTTGGTGTTTAGGATCTGTACAAAGGCTGCCTCGGCTATGTCTCCCTATTTAGATAGTTCTCTTGAGTAGGCGAAGTTCTATGTATCCCTTGATGGTGTAGTATAAGAAATGGTTAGGTCTCTGGAGATGTGAGGCGCTTCCATCTAACTCATGAAATGAACTTTGCCGTTTTCTTTGTTGTTCTTGGTTTCCTCCAATACCCTGTATTCTGTGCCCGGCCAAGAACCGCCGGATGTCGCCTTCCCTCGTCCGCCGGCTGGACAACCCTGCAGCAGCCTCCTTCCTACGCCGCCGCTTCCACCCTTGTTCCTCACCGCTGTCTGCAATTCTGCATCACTCGCGGCGTCCTTCTAGCGTCGCCTTGCCTCGGTCCGGTGGGACCTCACCGCCGGCCCTCTCCTTTCCCCGCCATCGGCCGCCCCGCCGCACCCGGTCGCCGAGCCGGCCGGTGCTCAGCCGAGCACGGCCGCGCCGCCGTCGCCTGGCCACCGCCCGCGCCGACGCGCGCCAGCCACCACCGATCGGGCGTGCACGCGTGTGAAAGGGGAACGAGATAGAGCAGAGGAAGAATCGAGAGAAGGGAGGGATAAGAAGAGAGAGAGAGCCTGACAAATGGGACCATGTGGGCCCACACCCCTTAATCCATCTTGCCCAGTAATCTCCCTCCTAATCTCTTCCTAATACCTCGATGACAGTCGGGCCCCATCATGCTTATCTCCTTTTAAACCTCCCTATCAATACTTGTACTTGGGTCACTTAGAGCATCTTCAACAGAGGGCTAAAATTAAAGCCCCAAAAATCCTATATTGGGACAGCCAAAAACTAATCTTACATACCGATTGCAGGGTGCTGACAGTGGCATGTTATTGGGCCATGTGGCAGCCTGAAAAAAATTAGCTAACCATCTCCAAAATTTGCCACGTGTCAATCTGGTATAATCTCTAGAAATTTACCTCTCTTTGAGAACATAGATTGAGAACATAGAAAGGTGACCCTTCGTATCTCTCTATATATAACTAAAGCTTTATTGTCAGCTGATTGGTACTTAGTTCCTCTTTAATTATTTGACACGTCTCTTTGGTGAGTAAAAAAAAAAAATCCAGAAAAGTCCAGTGTGGATTAACGCCATGCGATGATTTTAACTTTTGAGAGGACCCTGGTGATTTCTGTTGAATAACTAGGGCTTATTCGCTGATCCGGAGTAGAAGACGATCTCATGCACACAATAGATGAACAATGAACACAGATATAGGGAGAGGCATCACAGCTTTATTGCTTTCTCATATGTGTATGAATACATCAACCAACTTCTCAAACCCTCTCTCTCAATATATACCCATAATAGGAAGAGTCCTATTAGGATATGTTTCCATATATTTGGTATGAGCCCATATTTATCTCTGGCAGGAGATAATAGTTTCATAACACTCCCCCTTGGGCGAATACCGCGCTACACATGTCTCATTAAGAACTCCATCCAAAAACCTAGTGGAAGAAAATGATAGGAGAAAAGAGTATATCGTACACGCTAGTTATATTGTACTTATTGCCTTGTTAAAAACCTTGCGTGAGAAATATTCACTAAGGGAAAAACTCACTAAGGGAAAAAGAGTACAACACACGATCTTCGTGATCGCATAATCTTTAAGATCGACTATTCTTCATAAATAGCTAATGATCTATATGCTTTATTATATTAATCAATTTGGATTAACACAACAATATAGTGGTAGTAACTTTCAACGTAAATTATCAAAACAATGATTAATTTGATTAATTCTTGGTAAATCAAATATAAGACTTCCAAGTCTTAAGTATGATAATCGATGTTTTAGCATATATGCTCCCCCTCAATAAGACATCCGTTGAAACTTTCATGTTCCAATGTCAAAACCACATTTTTATTAATATGTAAAACAATGATAATAAAATTACCACAATGTTTAATCTTTCGTTTACTTATTTTATAAGTTCTACTATGAACATGAGAAATAAATCAACGTATAGGAGCAATATGTATAACCACTTATTCAAATGTGCAATACAAACAAAAATTTATCCTTACGGAGGACTATGGGAAAATAAGTTACAACGATACACATATGCGGTATGTAGAAAATAATTAGCTCAATACAAGAGGTTAAATATTATGCAACTTTCTTTTAGTGGATTTATCAATCATTATCAATTTGATTGTTTCACTAATCTTTAACAATTAGCTTAAACCACTTAGAGTGACATAAACCGGTCTATATTTTGGTATTAGGGGAATTAATAAGATTGCCAAATACCATCAATAAGTATATCTTCATGATATATAAATTCTTACACCTTCATAGTATGTAGAAAAATACCGATCCGCTTGCATGCTAGTGGATATGATTTTCCTATTCATTCGTTTGAACGGGTCTGTCCACTTCATGGGAGTACGAGTTATCGGTGTTATATGGAGATTAACCGGTAATTCATACATTAGCATAGTCCTACAGGGATCAACTTATTCTTCCGAAAGTCATTTTCTCTGATACGAGAAATATTCTCGCTTTTAGGAGAAAAACTCTTCGTGAGTCATCATAAACTCTTCTGCGAGTCTTACAATTCTCTTCATGAGAATATAGTGTGCTTCATGACACTAATTAGTATGAGATTTACATATATGTTGCGAAATTGTTTTCTTTCTAGTGAAAACTTCATATGGATTTTCATAACTCATAAATTGCATATCATTTATTCATTCATGCCTTTTGCCAGCGATATATATATATATATATATATATATATATATATATATGACGGAGCGTGGGGCTCCTCACCGGGAGACCGCGCAGGCCCCCCTTTGCCAGTTCGGCCGGGGACTCAGGGTGAGACTCTAAGCTCTCTGTATGTGGAAGGTTCGCGAGACCGGAAACACACAAGACACGGACGATGTATACAGGTTCGGGCCGCTGAGAAGCGTAATACCCTACTCCTGTGTTTTGGGAGATCTGTGTATGAAGGAGCTACAAAGTATGAGCCAGCCTCTCCCTTGTTCTGGGTTCCCAATCTGGAAAAGTCCAGTCCCCCCATCTAAGTGGGCAAGGTCCTCCTTTTATATCTTAAGGGGATACCACATGCACCATTTCCCTCCTTTTTCTGGGGACTTCCCCCACCTTTTCATAAATGGACGGAGATTTGTATAGTTGCCGTCCGAGTCACCTTCTGATGGGACGGCCCACAACTACCTCCACTTTCGCCGGGAACAGATGCGACGTGGAATCGTGGCTGTCTGCTGACGACATGACCGGAGTCAGACCAGTCACGTCGGTTATTCTTGTCCACCACGTGTCAGCTTAGCAATCTACATGTTCGCCCTTCTTCACACAATATCTTGCCTGTAATGGTTAGGATGAAGCCTGGCATATATTTGACCAGGACTAACGTGCCATCTCTGGAAGGTAACACGCTAGCTCCAGCTGGGGACGAGCGCCTAGAAGCCCTCGTCCTGACGGGATGGGGCGAGGCGTGCGTCAGATCGCCTGTCGCCACCTAACCCGCGATCTGACCGGTCTGTGACTGGTCACAGACCGGATAAATGAATGCACTGCACTGCGTTACATGCGGCGTGACACGCTCGTCAAAACTGCAATAAATGCGGTTAGGTGAGCCCCGCCATGCTCACCTACCCCATATACGCAGCGCAAAACCCACAAGGGGTCGGGGCGCCTTGGCCCTCGGGGCCGAGACGGGAGCAGTCCGACCCCTCGGGGAGACAAAGAGAAGGGCGGCCGTATCACCCTCGGGCCCGACCCCCCCCCCCCGTGGGAGTTAGGCCACGTGGGTGATCGTGTCTGCCTCAAGTCTCTAAGTCATGATACTCCTGGTAAAGAGGAGGGCGAACACATCACCCTCGGGCCCGACGCCCCCTGACGGTGCCAGGCCACGTGGGCGATTGTGTCTGCCTCAAGCCTCTAGTAATGATACTCCCGGTCCCATGTCACCGACAATATATATAGTGGAATTTAATACATTCATAGTAGGAGAATATCGGTCTTTTCCAAGACCAAATGAACCGTCGCTTTTCGCCACTTCATTTCCTATTAAGTCTGAACTTCCATGTTCACATAAACTTATTTAGCGACTATGGTTCAACCTCATTGCTTTCTTCAATAGACCCGATATGAGTGCTACTATGCAACTCTGCCATGGAATTTGGTTCCGGATCCGGATTCTCATTAGAGAAATATTAGCAATCATAGAGGCGATGTTGTCTCAACTATTCTTTTCTCCACATACTCATTCCATGAGGTTAATTCATTATAAACCATATCTTAGTCATTTCCCAAACATAAGATGTATGGTTGTTCCGCATCCCAGAATTAGATAGATGTGCACACTTTAATTCTGGGTTTTCATCTTCATGATGAACCTCTTCATGAGGCAATTCACCTTCATGGTGATTACTATACATGAGTTGTAAGGAGTTATTAATGGGTACATTGACAATAGTCGTTAGATCTTAGAATCCGCAGGCGTCCCCGTAGATTTTAGAACATTGACTAACATGTCACTCTGCATTTGTGGATATACTATTCAAAACCTGGGGTATACCACTGTGAGCAGAAAATTTACTACAAGTAAACATAACTTCTGATTACTCCTTTAATTCATAATTATCTGGCAAGCTCCCGCTTCTGGCTTACAGGAGAATAAACTAAACCTTCTAGTCTAGTTTGGCTTGTGCGTTATTCTTACTTATAAAGATATTTTTCTTCTTGAAAATATAAGGCATCTTTAACACATGGGCTTTTCTCCCCCTGATGCCGATATTCGATCTTTATCTAATAGCATATCACAAAAATCCCCTATCATAGGCACTGGATTAATGGAATTCGGTCCATTTATATCCCCAACTTCATGTGGAGGCCTATATATGTATGCTATGGTGGTGATATATGAGGGAAATGTTCATTCATTGAACACGCACTTATACAAAATAGAGGGGGTAAAGATATTATATGCAGTGAGCTAACATAAAAATTAATGCAATGGCATGAAAAATTGCACATCCCTGATACTGTAGGTTATCCTAATTCATAGAGAGTTATTATTCTGCAACAATGAAGCCCAAACAAAAATCCACTAGTCGAAAAAATTACTCTATTTTCTAGCTTTTTTTATTTGCCCAAGACTTGATCCAATTACT